AATGAAGTTCAATTTTGGACAAAATAGTCATTGTCATCTTATTATTTTTCTAATATTTTAGAATTTTAAATTAACTAAAATTTTAATAAATTCTGTAAGAACTACCAATATTTAGAAATTTAAATCTTTCCATAGCTAAATATTCTTAACATACTATAGAAGAAGGAAGCATATAACCAGACATTCATGACTTCTTTAGACGTCCTTAGTTTCATTAAAAATGATTATTTTACAGAGAAATTCGTATTCTTTTATTTTCTCATAATATTAAAAAAAATTAGAATTGGACAACAAAATTGAAATTAAAAATAATAATAAATAGTCACTGGTATAATAAAGAAAGCTTAATAATCTGAGCATCGAAGTTCGCCACCAATCTTCTTATTGTCAATATGTATGTATATGCTTTTTAAAAATAAATTACCCATTGAGAAAGTATACACGAGCAACACGCATATTATAAGACTAGTTACATAAAAAGCAGGTCCAACCAGTGAAAATAACATATCGTGAAGATTAGGAAGGATTGCCATATGGATTGACCAAACACAAATTTTGATGAGTAGCTACATCATACGAACACCAACAACCAGTGGCGGAGGCAGGATCTTCACGAAGGGGGTTCAAATTTTTTTTTTTGTAGCTAGTAGGAATTGAACTCATGACCTTATGTAGATTTTGAACCCATTGACCACTAAACTACACTTTTGGATAGTGTTAAGAGTATTCAAAACTTAATATATAGAGATAAAAAACAGATTTTACCTTATATATACAATGTAATTTTTCAGCGAAGAGTGTTCGCGTAAACACCCTTGCGCCCCCTAAATCCGCCCCTACCAACAACACGTCCAACAATCACTACAATCACTATGTTTTTGATAGCACTTATGTTTTTGAGAAGTCGAGCACATTGACTGAAAAATTTCACAATCAAAATTAACAGAATCAATGATGGTTGATATAATACGAAGAAAAAAAAATACGTATATTATATCGTATATACAAAGAAACACATACACACATAGTACATATTAAGAGGTACAATAATATACAAGTAGAATTAAGAAAAATATAAAAGGCATAATATACTTATGAAATAAAAATATAAAAATTTTAGATTGAAAAAAGATAATATAATAAAATTAGAATAATTGAACTTGATTTTGACTTTGATAACTTTAATTATATCAAATTAGAGTATCACTACGTAAATTTGCTTATTGCAATGCTTGAAACAGTGAAAAAGAGAGCATGTAATTAAAAATATGCCTTGCACTACAGGACTTGTATTTGATGGAATAATAATATATTTGGACAAGGGGAAAATAAGAAGAAGATAAAAGTATAATTTAGCTTATTTATTCCAATAGACCTAGAATAATTTATATAAAGGAAAGTTAGGATCTAAACGAGTTATTGTTGTTACCTAATTTTTTTCTACATATTAAGTACTATTCCAAAAGTTTACTTACCTTTTTATAGTTTTTTTTTTTATAGTTCTTATACCATAGTGTTTAATTTTTTTGAGAAAAAAAGTAGCATATACATGTACTATTATTATGAAATGGCCTCTTCTGGGGGAGAAATTCAAAAATATCAGATTTATAACTGGTCGTTCAAAAATAGCCCAATTTCAAAAGTAATCGAAATTTAGCCACTTTTCATGTAAAGATAAATTTGAGCGAAAATACTATTCAAACCCCGGAAAATACGCCATTATATTATACTGGAGTTCCAGCATAAGTACACTAGAACTCCAGCATAATATACTGGAGTTCCAGCAAGTATAATTGTCCAGTATAATATACTGGAGTTTGGAGCATCGATGCTCCAGTATACCGGTCCAACATAATATGCTGAAGTTCATACACAGGTGCACCGAACTCCAGTATATTATGCTGGACCGGTTTCTGTTGCAGCAAAATAGTGGCTATTTTTTATTGACTTCGTAAACGCTGGCTATTTTTGAATGACAAGTCCGAAAACTGGCTATACCGTGCTATTTTTACCTCCTCTGGCCGGCTATGTGAAGAAGAAGAGTAAGAGATTCAGTTTAGATCGTACAAAGAAGAACTGTATACACTAACAACTTCTTATACGCTAATTTATTTTCCAGGTTAATGACTCATGTGTACATCACAAATAAAACTCTCTCATGATCGGATCTTAGCAACAACAACAACAATCCAATATAATCCCACAAGTGGGGTCTAGAGAGGGTAATATGTACGCAGACTTTACCTCTACCCTGAAGGATAGAAAGACTGTTTCCAGGAGACCTTCGGCTAAATAAAAGCAACAGGAGCCGATATATTAGTACCATAAAAAATGCATAATACACTTATCAACGGTTAGCAATATTTTACACGTTCTTCATTAACTTCATCAAAGCTTTTGCACTTAGGTTTGAGATTCTTGGTTATAGACTGCTCTATTATTACCTATTATTACAACGTATAGTATTTTTGAGAGTTTAAGAGGCATATGATTTGCAAAAAATCTACTCTAACAATGTTATTGAAAGTTCTAAAGAAATTTACAATTATACTTCTACGACAAAAAATAAGATAGTCACACTTTACAACCTTAACTATGCAATTGGGCCCGGGCTATTGAAAGTTCTAAAGAAATTTGTAAAAATTGGCTAGGGCGCCCTATTTAGTCGCCCCTTATTTAACCTATACTTATTTTTTTAAATTTTTTAACTTATACCAACTTTTTAAATAACTTCAGCCCCCTTTCTCCTCCTCCTTCTCCTCCTTCGTTTTCTTTTTCAAGTTACAAAACAAACTGGTATTTATCTCCAGAAGCAACACTGTTTTAGTTATAAGGTCAAATTTTTTTAATTGAACGGTTTGGCAGTTGTACTTCTGCTCCAAATTTACAGCAAATTAGTCTTAAGAAAAAGTTTAAGTTACCAATAAGATAGGCTGTAAAATTTTGAAGTTTTTGTATGTTTATTCGTGTTTGAGCTGAGAAGATGTACCTTATTTTTCTTAAAAAATCACTGCCAATTGTGGTGCTTCAGCTCTAGAGTTGAAGTTCTTCAGTTACAAAACAAAAACTTCAGGCTCTAGAGCTGAAAGTTCGCCAGTTACAAACAAAAACTTCAGCTCTAGAGTTGAAGTTCGCTAGTTACAAATAAAAACTTCGCCAGTTACAAAACAAAAACTTTAGCTCTAGAGCTGAAGCTCGTCAGTTACAAAAACAAAAACTTCAGCTCCAGAGCTGAAGTTTGTCAGTTAAAAATTAAAAAACTTCAACTCTAGAGATGAAGTTCGCTAGTTAAAAAACAAAAAACTTCAGCTCTAGAGATGAACTTTAGGCCTGACTACTAGAGTGCTGAAGTTTTGCGTGATTGCCTTTGCTACTTCAGTCCCGTATGCTGAAATTATGCGAAAAAGCGAGTACGCTTGCAATTTTTTTTGCAAAGCGGGTACAAGTTAAAACGTGACACAAAAAACGGGTATAGATGTAAATGCCCCAAGATATTTACAATTATACTTCGACGACAAAAAATAAGGTAGTCAGACTTTACAAGCTTGACTATGCAATTGGGCCCGGGCATAGCCCGGGCTAATGGTAACTAGTATATAATATAGGGAATTTTTCATAACGCACCATCTTTTTTGTCTAATTAGCCATTTATAGATATCCTTTGTTATATTACGTGTTATAGATATCTTTTATGTATTTATACAATGTATTTCATGTATTTAAGCTGTTGTATTCATTAATACAACCAAAAATATAGGCGTAAAATCTGGAATTCCAGTTAAGTTTGACATGTATTTAGCTGTATTCAAGCGACATTAACATTAAATACAGTAACGTATTTGCGCTAAAAGCGGAAGGAAATATAATCACTTGATATTCTCCTAATTTAACTCAACGAACTAAAACGATCCCTCATTAATCTGTATTTGAAAGATACATAATAAAGATTATAGCTGAATAAAGAGAAATACATATGAATAATACAGTTGAATACAACAAAATACACCTTAATTCATCTTAATAAAATACTTGAATACAACAAAAATACAACTAAATACAGCTGAATAAACTCTTGAATGCAAAAAAATGCAACTAACTTCTGCTGAATAAAATAGTTGAATATAACTAACTACAATTGAATACAACTGAATACAGTTGTATAAAATACTTGAATACAACTAACTTATGCTGAATAAAATGGTTACATACAACTGATTAAACCTGAATACAAGTGAATACAGCTGAAGAATACATTCGAATACAACTGAATACAAATAGGCTGGGTTTGTCAGCCCACTGCGTCTTCGACATGAACACTCCTCCAATTGGGCCCGAGGAATTGCCAGAAACATCATTAGAATTAGAATGATGAGAATTCAGCCCAGACGATGATGGCTCTGAAAAACTTGAAAAGTGCCTCTCAATTGCAGAACTAACATTGCCACAAGTGTACGACTTTCCGGTGGGCGAAAAAACGACCGCCGCAACACGAGATCCGGTCAAATCGAACGGTGCTCGCATGCTGTTGCTGACAGCTCAGCCCGAATCCGGATCTTTTGTGAAGTACGCGAGTGTGGTTGCTCATATTCCGGCTCAGACAATGGCTGATGATAACGTTGGTGACGCGGAGCAGAAAATTGAGAATTTGGGTGGGAGAAGAGTTAAGAAACTAGGGTTTGTGGGAGAAGAGAGTCTGGTTGTATGCAAACAGAGAGATTGTATTGGGGTTTGCAGATACGCGGTAATTATGTGAGAGAAAATACAAAAAGGGAGAGAGAGAAATAATATTTAGCATATATGGTGCCTTAATTGTATGATGTAACTATATTTAGATTTTTTGCTATAAAGGATAAAATGTATTTATAGGATGTAATATTTTAAAATAATATTTATTTAAAATAAATAGGGTACTAAGATTTTCTATAGGGTGTAAAAATTCCTATAATATATAGCAGACTTTAGCAAAATTCCTAACGTGAACGCTGGGTTCAAGAGTCAACTTTCAACAATTTCAAGATTGTGTTTTCTTTGAATTGATTCAGGTTTTTCAAGAATGGTTTATTGCGATTATTGCATAAAATTCAGTCGACCAGATTATTGGGATGACAAAGTGTAAGCTTTAATTTCTCATGCAAAGTTTTTATTTATTTATTTATTTATTTATTTCTGCATTCTACTTCTTACGATTCATTCTAAATTCTTTTTTTTTCCATAGATGTTGTAGGAACTGTGGGAAAATCCTATATGAAGAAAATTTTACAACTGAACCAACTTTTGTCAAAATTATGGCACGACAGGTTTGTCTAATTTGATGCAAATTGGTTCAATATATTTTATTTGTTAGAAGATGTTTTTAATTAACCTTGAATCTCATTGTTATTATTTGTTACAGTAGTTTGTTCACAATAGATTATTGGTTTAGCTAAATTCACAGAAGTTTAAGGTCTGAGAAAACCTCTGATGATTTTGGAGTTATGATTCGAAACACAGGAATTACGAACCACATATTCAACGTATCCTAATCAAAGGCGAAACCAGAATTTGAAACTTGTGATTTCGAGATTTTAATCTAGTTGCTAGGTTCTAAATTAACAATTTGTAATGTTGTATTTACCCGAAAATTACTAGTTAGGAGACATATGGGTTTTTCTTAGAGGAAGCGGATCTGCAGCAACCACGACTTGTGTCACCAGTCATCGAGAAATCTCACGAAAGCGTATGAATTACTTTGTCCACAGCCTACTACCCCTCTCTAAGATGCAAAGAATTTAACCCTAGCCGTCGTTTGTTTCACATAAGAAACAATTTCGAAATTCAACCCAATAATATTTCACAACATGTACATATTCAATAGATTTCTTTAGACAAATATGAGGTTTGAACCAAAACTACTTACTTCGGCTGAACTCGTAACCAAAGCACTAGCTCCGTCCCGAGCCTAACTATAAAAAAATTTGCCCTTATTCACAGACATGTCATATATATGGGAAAAAAATAGCTTGGGCACATAACTAACTCTTGGTATTTGTGCTATATTATGTGCAGAAGAAACAACTGGAAAGGGCACTAAAATTGCTCCATCCTGTGCAGAAGAAACAACTGAAGTGGCCTGCAGAATTGAAAATTTCAGCTCCTAAGGTATGGAAAAAAATGGTAAAGAAAAGATCATTTGCTTTCTTTAGCATACATAATGCTGAACTAATTATTACCTTAATCATAGTTCTTATTATTCATATATGGCTATGATTTGTCTTCTTTGTAATGGTGAGGAACAAAAACTTAATTGAGATTCTTAGAATTATATTCTATTTTCATCTTTCCTCGTGCGGAGGGTATATTGAAGACAACTTTTCTATATTTACTATAAGGGTAAAGTCAGCGTACTCACTATCCTTCCCAGATCCCACTTATGAAATTATGTTGAGTTTATTATTGTTATTGTCGTTGTCGTGTGTGCACTGGAAAGAGGAGAAAATAATTATGTGGTACTGGCAAAGGAAAGATAAAGACAACTAATAGAACAGAAGAGTTATAACATCTAATTCTCTGACAAGCAGGATTCTACTTTGAGGAGGTTATATAATTTCTCTATCATAATAAAGTCTTTGTAATGTATTGGTTCAATATCATGAGCTTGGAGTCTATAGTAAGTAAGATGACAGACTTTGGCACAAGGGCGGCTCGGTACACGAAGCATCCCCATTTATGTAGAATCCGGGGAAGGGCCGCATCCCAAAAGGGTATGATGTAGGCAACCAACTACTCTGATGCAAGCATTAATGGCTGATTCCACGATGCTAAAATGAAGTATGTATTAGTTTTTCTTGTTGTTATCGGTGTAATTTTTAGCCGAGGGTCTATCGGAAATAGCGTCTCTGCCTTGGTCTGCGTCAGAGGCGGACCCATATGTATGGGTGAGGGGTCACCAGACCCCGTAAACTTCGACCGATGTATATATAGGTATATACTTTGAAAATAGTTAATTTAAAGCAGTTGGCACCCTGAACACTAAAAACCTTTAGGGGGCGCTGGTTGAGCAGAATAATATGCTTCCGTCGTGTAAAAATTCTGGGTCCGCCGCTGATTTGCGTACACACTACCCTTCCCAAACCCCACTTTTGCATAGGTGTAATTTTTGCTCTTATCATAGTCATTAAGAAACTAAATTCCGTTTTTAGCTTTAGCAAGCTTGTGACTACCTGAACAAACTAGTCTATGCTCAGCTAAGTATGATTACTTAGTAATTGATGAATACATGGACAGAGATAATAAATTCATGGAAATACTCTAGCTTCTTCTTATTCATATTATCCTTTGTTCTTTCTAGTTTTGCATGTTATATTGCATGATATTTCATCCTTCAGGCCAAAAGGTTGCCATATGCATCCATGGGCTATAAAGTTGAAAATATTATGAAACATTGGAATACTCCAATTCTTTGGTAGGAATATAAACTAGAGGAGACATCTCTAGGTATTGCATACAGCCTCTCCACCCTTCGGGGTAGGGGTAAGGTCTGCGTACATATTACTCTCCCCAGACCCCACTTGTGGGATTATACTGTGTCGTTGTTGTTGTTGTTGTGAGACATCTCTAGGTATTGCATACAGCCTCTCCACCCTTCGGGGTAGGGGTAAGGTCTGCGTACATATTACTCTCCCCAGACCCCACTTGTGGGATTATACTGTGTCGTTGTTGTTGTTGTTGTGAGACATCTCTAGGTACCTTTGATTAATAAATCCACTTGTATTTTTGTCACTTATCATCGTCATATATAAGTAGTCGTAACTCGTACTTCTTGAATTCGTTAAAACTGCAGATGATACTCGCGAAACCAGAGGAAAGTAAAAATGTGGTTGATGCACGCGATAATTTCTTTGTTCAGAGTGGGAAAATTGATCCTGAGACAGAAGAAATTTATGAAGAACCAGTTGATAATATGGCAAATTAAAGATACATATTACAAGGAGGTAGAACATTTCCAGGCATATTACTGGGATTTTTAGTTATAGACTTATAGTGTTGGATTACACAATGTGAGGCCATATGATTTCCAGGCATTATTTATTGATTCATTAAGTTTTGATAATAGTTTATCAGCTTTTGTTATGAATCTTATTCCATTATATTTCAATTGGTCAATCTAGCTACCACAACTGCTACTACTACATGTCATGTCGTCAATCTCAAGCAAGTTAGGTCGACCACATAAATCCTACGTAATTAACAATGTCGCTCCAATATTTAAGCTCATAATATTCTGTATAGTGAGGATTCATCGTATTTACCACTTGCTATCAGCCTATCACAATCCTCTTCTTTTATCAGGGCCTGAGTCCGATAATGTGAGCAAATTCATACCGACAGTTTGTGTTGTAACATTCCTTCTTATTTGGTTCAAAATGTATGAAGGTGTGTGACTCGTGATGTTATTCTAAGAGATAATACGATAAAAATACTATAAATTGTTCAGTGCTAATATAGTAACATTAGCTTCTCTTTTTAAATGCTTTATGATTTCCAAGCATTATTTTTTGATTTATTAAGTTTTGGTAATAGTTTATCAATTTTAATCATGAATCTTATTCCATATATTTCAATTGGTCAATCTAGCTACAACTACTGTTACGACTACACGTCAATTCCAAGCAATATGCTCAGTATAGTCCCAAAAGTTGGTCTGAGTGTGTATGCAAACCTTATATTTCCATACCTTGTGCAGGTAGAGAGGTTGTTTCTGATAGACCCTCGCCTCATGCAAGCATAATCACAACAGTTTAGAAAAAGAGATACAGTAACGAGGAAGAAAAGGGGTCAGTAACAATAACAAGATAATAGTGGACCGAAACAGAAGCAACATCAGGTAGTAGTAGAGATCTACGATAATTCTACCATCTCCACATCCTTCTATCAAGGGTCCCCGCCGTTGACAACCTCTCACCCCTGAAAGAAAGTTGGGCCGACTATATGAATCTTTATTAACAATAGTGTTCCAATATTTAAGCTCATAGTATTCTGTGAGGATTCATCGTATTATACACTGGTTACTAGCCTATAGCATTCCTCTTCTTTTATCGGAGTCCGAGTCAATAATGTGAGCAAATTCACACCGACAATTTGTGATGTAGCATTCCTTCTTAGTGTTTCAAAATATATGAATATGTGCAACTCGTGATGTTATTCTAAGAGATAATAATAAGATGAAAATATAAAATGTTTAGTGGTAATAGTAATATTGAGAAAATTAATCATCTCCTCTTCTTTTCATTTCAATTTATAGTTTTTACTCTAGTAAATAATTAAAGAGGTAAATAATGAAGTATAATTAACTACCAAAGGAAAACAATTAATAGTTCAATATATAAGGGCTCATTTGATACGAAGGATACAAATAATTAATCTCAAAATTAAATTTGAGTCGAATTTATTTTAAATTAATTGAGATAAGATCGCAATATATTTAATTTCGAAATTAGTTATTTCGAAATTGTAATAGCAAATGACCCCTATGAAAAACAAGAAGAAGGATGACACAGAAAAGATCTGAAAATAACAAAACCAACTTCTCTTTGTCCCTTCTCTCCCACTTTCCCCTTTCTCTATTGTAGCCGAAACCCTAATTATCTTCGTCTACCCGATTCTCTCTCTCTCTCTACACACACACACACAGTTCCTTGCTCTTCTCTCAAAATCTAGGATTTCTCAGCTTCAGAGTCTCTCCAATTTCATTTTCAAGCTACTATATGCAGATATAAATATAGTAGCAACAAATTGATATATTGTAGAAGAAATGTATAGAGATCGAGGAGGAGGAGGTGGCGGAGGAGGACCGTTGGATCGGAAACGAATCAACGATGCGTTGGATAAGCACTTAGAGAAGTTATCACCGTCAACATCTAGGTCTTTGAAGGATAAAGCTGTTCCGTCTACCTCCGCCTCCGCCGGTGGTGGTGGTGGAAAATCGCATTTTGATCATCGCAACACCAGCAAAAATAAGTGCTCTGATGGTTAGTATCTTTTATTAATCATTTTCCAAAGTATTGGATTTTGCCTTTATTAGGGTAAAAATGTTGTCTTTAGTGGTTGATTAGAAGATCCACAAGCTGTTTGGATTTAAAATGTTTTAATTAATAGATATGTGATTTTGGAAGTAATTGCTGGATACGAGCTTTTAAGGCTTTAGGTGTGATATTATAATACTATGGTTTTTAGCCACATTCTCCGTCCCATTTTATGTGACAATATTTGAGTGGGCATGGGTTTAAGGCATATAGAATACTTTTGAAATTAGTCCTTAAGGCCATAGACATTTGAGCGGGTATAAATCATGTCATGGAAGGTAGAATTGGAAGTTTAAAGCTAAAATTGTCTCCGATAAGAGATAGGTGTTATTCTTTCCAGGACGAGCGAAAAAGGAGTCACATAAAATGGGACAAAAGTTTTTCTTTTTTAGTTGGAAATAATGGTTTCCAACTTTTTTTTGTCATGTTCAGAAGCTTGAAAGATATACTGTTTCCATTTTTGGTGTTTGCTGTAAATTGTTTTTTTTTTAATCCATTTTCTTTTGTATTTATGGGGGAAATTAGTTTAACAACTGATCAAGGTACACTATATATGTTGAGGGGTGTCTTTGGCGCGTTTTTGTTGTTCTTGTACTAAAGTTGCTCTCATTTTCGTTTCTCTGTAATGATGCACCCTTTTGGAAGAAATGGAAATATTCCTTTAATCCAAAAAGCAGCATGGAATGAATTCAGATATAGTTTTATCTAGTCACATAGCATGAACATTGAAAAAATTAGTGTGTTCCGAATATATACTTATTTTGCTTGTGGTTCTCTCTGGATGTTTCCAAACTGTATTTCAGATATTCCTAGATTCTCAGCACGGCGATAGAAAGATTATCCCTGTGGTTTCATATGTAGTTTTTCGGTTGTCACAGTCAATTCTTGCTAGAGGTTTACAAAGTTGATTTTTCTTTTTAAATAAAAAAAATGTCTGTTTTGTGATGTGCAACCATAAGTGCAGGCTAGACTTTTGTGGTCTTTTTATTCTAGTACTGGTGAATACAGCTTCTATGTCATGCCATTATAATCTAGTATGGAATGAGCTTTGAGGTTAAAATTGAAAATTCCTATGATATATTGCCATAACTTATTAACAGTATTTGCCATTTTTGTTAACCTGGCTGTCTCGCCTTCTTACGGATTTCTCTGTGCCTCCCACTCTGCCTATTCCTCTTCATTCTGACAGCCAGGCTGCGATTTATATCGCCAAAAACCCTGTCTTTCACGAGAGGATGAAACGAACTTGATTGTCATTTTGTCCGTCAACAGTTTCAATCCAGCCTCATTTCCCTTTCTTTTCTTCCCACTCGCTCTCAACTGCCAGACATCTTCACCAAACCTCTTTCTGGGCCTTCTCATCGTGAGCTTCTGAGCAAGTTGGGGGTTCATTCTTCCCCTCCAACTTGGGGGGGGGGGGGGGGGGGTGTTGACAGTGTTGGTATTGGTTTGGAAGAAAGCTGTGGCGGCTAGGGCATTGTAATGTCTCAGATGATAACAAAACTGCCTCTTCAACACAATAGCAGGGACACATGTTTTAATCACAGCCTTTGTTCCCTAAATGATGTGTTTGATCTCAGCCATAGGATTCATTTCTAGAAGCTTCTTATGCAGAAGACCCAACTTAGCTTATTTATGTACACACGTGATAATAGAAGAGGGCACATGCTTGGTAGTTATGTCGGTTAGTAGGTGTATATATTAAAACACTGTACAGACAGTTCATTTGCAAGCAGAATGAAAATCATTTGCTCCTCAACTGAATTTCTTCTTCTCCAAGTTTTACATTTCTGAATTATTTATCTTTAACTCAGCCTTTTATGTTTTAATTTGAAAGAAAAACTTCAGCTGTTTAAGTAGAGTTGTTTGTCTTTTACTTATGGTTGGTTCTTGATGTTGAGTTGTGGAAAGCTTTTAGCAACATCTTTCTGAATAACATAGCTGTTTAAGTCTTCTCGAGGTGCGCTACCTTTTTGGGTATAGCTTGGCATACTATACTGGCCTACCTAACTCACTATTTTCCTTGCATTTCAAATGACGTGAGTACATTCTCATGTTTATGTATTTTGTAGAGGAATCTGAAACGGACAGTGAAGAGTCTGATGTTAGTGGTTCTGATGGGGATGATACTTCATGGATTTCTTGGTTTTGTAACCTGCGTGGTAATGAGTTCTTCTGTGAAGTTGATGATGATTACATTCAAGATGATTTTAACCTCTGTGGATTGAGCAGTCAAGTTCCCTACTATGACTATGCGCTTGACCTCATCCTTGATGTTGAATCCTCCCATGGTATGTATTCTTTCTCTTGTTTAGATTACTTCATATTTTATGATGAATTTCCGAAGATTGATTTTGGACTTACTTTTCAGTTGAAGGATGCAATTTTCTTGTCTTCTGAAACTATATGGTTCGCTGTTTTATTTCCTATGGACTATTTTGACAAATTAGTATCTTTAGTGAAGTAAACATGTGGAGAACTGGTCAGCTTTACTTGATATATTTTAGGTTGTTTGGAATAACTTCTTATAAAGGCTGGGAGAAACTAGTGAAAGTTTCTTTATAAAAAAAAGTAAAAAGAAACTACTTAAAGTTAATTTTGAGTCGCATTCTACCAGGTTTTTCCAACTGGTCTAGGCTTATCCATCTTATAATGACATGTATAAATGCCCATTTGTAGATATTTGGGTAAATTTTATTGTTAGAATCATCTTATATCCGTTTGTCCAATAGTAAGTTTTTGGAGGAATGTATCCTGCCATTGTCCGGGTTTGATGTGACATTCATGCCGAATTGCAGAAATTCTAAATGAAGCCATTGAATCATTTAATCGATAGATATAAATAACGGTGCCCCTAAGGCTCACTGTGTCTTGTATTCTATTGCCCATCTCATTGAAAATTTTAAAAATCAACCACCAATGCTTGCCCCGGAAGAAAAGATGGAAGGGGGAATGTTCTGTTTACATTGTCTAACTGCTGATAGAAGCAGTTTCTTTAAAAACAAACATCTCAAAATAGTGACAAGGTTCATGGGGCTTGAAGCAAAAAACTTGAAGTTGAGTGCATGCTTCTTTGGAATGAAACGCACAGTTCACGGCATTAAAAGAATACCAAACATATGTGGAATTTACTCAATTTAGTACTATAGTGATCAAACTGCAATCGAAATAACTATTTTCCGTATTCAGTGTACAATAAATATCGATATTAATCCAACTCCTCAAAATTGAGATTCAACAAACCCATCGCTTTTGGTTAGGATCACCTTGCACATCTTTTTTTGAAGCGTTCACTTATATAAAAACATGACTTCACCCATAAAGTGATAACCCTTCATGTCACATTGTTTCATCGCTTTAGGCGACGAAACGATGGTTTTTAATAACACGGGAGAAAAAGAGCTGCTTCTTTTCAATCAAGGAACATGACACTTTTATGAAGCACATGATTTCATCCATTAGGACACGAAAAAAGTATATGACGTTATCTCAATGCAAAACTACCATAATACCAGGAAAAATTGATTTCTTGAATGAAAAGAAGTAGCTCGTTTTACCCAATGTCATCAAAAGCCATCATTTTGTCTCTTAGAGCAATTAATCGATGTGAAGCGAGGGTTATCGCCTAATGGGTGAAATCATGTGCTTCATAAAAGTGTGTCATGTTCCTTGATTGAAGAGAAGCAGCTCTTTGCATTGATGACATTGGGTAAAACGAGCTGCTTCTTTTCATTCAAGAAATCAATTTTTCCTGGTATTATGGTAGTTTTGCATTGAGATAACGTCATATACTTTTTTCGTG